AGGCGCGGAGTCTTTGCCTAGGTAACCGGCCGTTTGGGGGGCGGGGGTAGAGAGCGCGGCGGGGCTCTCTGCTGGGCTGTAGGAAAGGCTGCGTGGTTCTCTCCCGCGAACGCTGGGAGCTCCAGGGAACCCCTTCCTTGGGAAGAAGTAACCCTCACCCACCCGAGTTCAGAGGCCGCACCTCGGAGAAAGATTCCGCCCCAACAAGCCCGCGAGAAGGGCGGAAATGCGGGCATCCACTGGAGGAGGGCGTGAGGGTTGCTGGAGACCCCCACTGGAGACGCGGGGAGGGGGGGGCGGAAAACACATGCTACCACCGAGGGAAGGTCCGCTTGTGTCTATACTACAGCGAGTGCGAGCTGTCCTGAGCAGCTCAGCCTGCAGCCGGAGTGGCAGGGGAATCCCCCATTTTCAGCCCGTCGAGGATTTCCCAGACTGGGAGCTCGAAGCTCCTTTTTCTCTACCTATAAGCAGGCCCCGGGCCGAGGGAGACGAAATTTACACGACCCTCAGGTCCCGCGCACCTCGGAGGTTGTTTGCGTTGGATTTTGAGGGTTTGGGGGGGATTGTTGTTTGGTGGTCTTTTTGTTTGTTTGTTTTTTGGTCCAAGTTCCCACCCTTCGAGGTGTGCCCACCCCAGGCAAAGGGGGCGCTATAGACCGGAGTTCGGGGCAGCGGGATTCTTCTTCAAGGCCCACGGAGTGGCGCTTTCAGCTACAAAGTTTCGCTGGGGCATAGCGTTGAGAGGTTCGCCCCGGAGCCAAGCTCGCGCCTTCCGGAATGTGCCCCTTCCAGGCTACGGGGTGGCTGGGAGCCTCGAAGCGGCCCACCCTAGGGGACATTGCCCGCAGGATGCACCGGATCTCCCTCTGCCCGCCCACCAGCAGCGAACGCCGTCTGCCACCTCGCCGCGCTTCCAACGCCGGCCTTCTTTCCACTGTGCCCTTTTGTTTGCTTGACCCCTGGCCCCCGAAACTCGCCGCTAATAGAAGCGAAGCTCCATTAGCATTTAGAATGAAAAGTGCAGACTTTCTTAATTCCTCGGGGCATTCATGCATTCGTTCCAGACCCTGTGCATTTCCTATGCAACGTGTAAAATTTGTATTTGAGGGCAGGGGGCGGGCGGAGTTAGAAAATGGTAATTTTCCGCTCGTGTACACTCACCGACACCCGAACACTCGTTTAAGTGTCCTCCTTTCTTCGGTTTTCTGAGTTTGTAAGTTCGGGCCCAATTGTGGGGGCAGAGATATCAATTTCTGGGTGACAACAGATTGCGCAGTTTTCAGCTTCGGTTCGGATGCCACAAAACCACGGTGAGCGTAGTGGATACGGACAACCTTTCCTCTGCATTCCCAAAGCGATGTTTTGCCTCTTGCCCGGGAACTCTGGTGCCCATATTTGCCCTTAGTAATTAACCTAGCATTTCCAGAGGCTCCCCCCTAACTTCCCGATACGCCCAGCCCAGGCTGCGGTGATCCAATCTGGTCTCACTGTAACCTCCGTCCTCTCTCCCGGTGCAGAGTCCACTGCGGAAAAGCGCAGCCCGGCCAGCCCGGGCCCTGAGCCTGGACCCTCTGCGGAGCCGGGCAGCGCTGCCGCTGCTTCGCCTCGCCAGACGTCCTCGCCTCCTACACTCTCGGCTTCTGCTGGAGAGACCCCCAGCCCCACCATTCAGCGCACAAGATACCCTCCAGGTAAGTGTGAAGGCACGACCCCTTATTCCTCCTGGGCTGGGAGAAGCGGGAAGGCTGGCCAACTTGCCCAGTGCTTGGATAGTAACTGCTGGGCGTTCATTTCACAGCACAGGTGGCTTCATCAAACGAAGTTCCTCTGTAAACCACACCCTGTTGCTAGCGACTGGAGCAGCCAGATTAAATTAAGCTTTGCCTTTCTCAAAATTAGTTTTCCTAGGGAAAATGTAAAATCGACCAATGATTAGGGTCATTAACAGCTTTAATGTCTTCATTTTTGCCCTCATACTATATTCAGAATATGCCTAGAGTTACAGGATCACTTAGAGCAATACAGAGCATTTTTGTATCTATAAAGCAAAAATCATTTGGGTGCAGAAGTTGGGATGATTGAAGCTCAGAGAGAAAGAAAAGCATTTGAGCTGCAAACCAAGGATATATTTGAGCTTGAAGAAGAAAGGATTGCAGGTTAGGTTTGTACTACTTCTTCACAAATTTGTTCAAGGAATACTAGGTGCCAGGCCTATACAAGCAGCAGAGATGCAGATAAGACTTGTGTACCAGCAAGCTCATCTTCTAGCTGGAAACCTCAGAAAGACACAAAGAACAATGAGTAGAGATTGGTAGGAATGAATGATAAAAGGGACTCGGAGAAGTCCTAAAGATGCTGAAAGGAGAATAGGTAAAATATCAGGCAGTTCTTTAAAATAGCCGTCCATTTCATCCCAACAACTGAACAGCGAGATAAGTAATCCTTTAATGTCAAACTAGCAAGTGTGTTTTTAAGGCCCTACTTGGAAAAGAAAGGCTTGAACTGGCCTCTCTTCATCACTGCTTCTTCTAACAGGCCTTCATCACCTTTTTTCAAGTCAAGATTTCATCCCATACACGCATGACTCAATCAGATTTGGAAATGTGGGTAAGAGAAAGATGTCAAAGGAAGTGTCTTTTGTATTAGTCATATCTTTTACACCAGAGATTCCAAAAAGATGTGAAGCACCTGGTTTTCCTTTGGCTCAGAAAAACCAACCACCAAGAAAAGCCCATTTCACCATTTGTATTTAGCCATAAAGAAAGGTAAATAATTAGCTAAAACATCCAGTAGATTCAGTCATTCCCAGGGCCTTCTCACACACTTTAACCTCTCAAATGATAGTAAGCACCCTAGATACCAGTCACTTTGGGGCTGAACATAGTCAAAATGGAAGAGAAACCAAAGCTGTTCAAAAAATTGCTTTCTTCTTTTCCAGGGCTGCTAATTTTTCCATCGTAAGAAAAATGCCTAGACAAACGTGCCTGTTATGATAGTTGTAAACTGTTGTTATAAAACAGCAACTGATATAGTTTATTAGTCAGAACTGAGAAATATGTATATACACGCACACACATACATATCGCAGAGAGCAAGGTTGGTGGGTGTTTTGTTGCAGCTGCTGATCTTTCTCTTTGCAGATGGTGCAGACTCCCCCAGTCCATTTCCTGGGCCTACATTCCCACCTCACCACCTAGCTGGCTGAAGTCATCAACAGGGGTCCAGTTTGTGCAGGCTGCCTGCCCTGTTTGGAGGAGTGTGGAGGGAGTGGGAGAAAGCAGCCACATGTGTGTGGGCAGCCTCAGTTGGCACCAATAAAATGTTAGAATGTCACTGTCTCTGTTGGCCAGTAACTCCCACATGGGACACCTTTTTGACTCACTCATGGGTTTACAAGTCAGTGTATGTGGCTTGAGGGACCAATGCCCTTTTTCCCCTAAAATAAACCAATGGGACATTCACTTGCCTTTTTTTTTTTATTTTTTCCTGTCCTCCCCACTTGTGGCTAAGGAGACCACTTTAAAAAAAAATCTCTATATTTATGAGGGGAGACATTAAGTTTTTCAGATCTGGTATAGAACAGGATGAAGCCACACAGGTGTACAGAAGTCTCAGCTTTTGGCATCCTGTGGTTCTTTTGTGTGTTAAGAATTCAGCTTTTTTTCTCTGGGAGGAAATCAGTGAGCATGGGGCTTTAAGTCTATACTACCAGAAGGAGGAGAAGATGTCACTTCCTCTCTGTTTCCCAGATTAGAGAGCAGTGAACCCAGTGCTGCCTATTAGCTAGGAAATTACTGTTGACTTGCATCTGAGAGACCCTTCCTGTCCCTGCAGATATGCCCTGCGTGCAAGCCCAGTATAGTCCTTCGCCTCCAGGTTCCAGTTATGCAGCACAGACATACGGCTCAGAATACACCGCAGAGATCATGAACCCAGACTATGCCAAGCTGACCATGGATCTTGGCAGCACCGAGATCACAGCCACAGCCACCACGTCCCTGCCCAGCTTCAATACCTTCATGGAAGGCTACTCCAGCAGCTATGAACTCAAGCCCTCCTGCCTGTACCAAATGCAGCCATCTGGGCCGCGGCCCTTGATCAAGATGGAAGAGGGCCGTGCGCACGGCTACCACCACCATCACCACCACCACCACCACCACCAACATCATCACCACCAGCAGCCACAGCCCCAGCAGCCATCCATTCCTCAGTCCACTGGCACGGAGGAGGAGGTGCTGCCTAGTACCTCCATGTACTTCAAGCAGTCCCCGCCGTCCACCCCCACCACGCCCACCCCCCCCACTCCCGGCTTCCCCCCGCGGGGGGGGGCGCTGTGGGACGATCCGCTGCCTTCAGCGCCAGGCTGCATCGCGCCAGGCCAGCTGCTGGACCCGCCGATGAAGGCAGTGCCCCCTGGCGCGCGCTTCCCACTCTTCCACTTCAAGTTCTCGCCACCACACCCGCCTGCGCCTAGCCCGGCTGGCGGTCACCACCTGAGTTACGACCCGACGCCCACTGCCGCACTCAGCCTGCCGCTGGGAGCCGCTGCCGCCGCGGGCAGCCAGGCTGCCACACTTGAGGGCCACCCGTATGGGCTGCCGCTGGCCAAGAGGGCGGCCGCGCTGGCCTTCCCGCCGCTCGGCCTCACTGCCTCCCCTACCGCGTCCAGCCTGCTGGGCGAGAGCCCCAGCCTGCCGTCGCCACCCCACAGGAGCTCGTCCTCGGGCGAGGGCACCTGCGCTGTGTGCGGGGACAACGCTGCCTGCCAGCACTATGGCGTGCGCACCTGCGAGGGCTGCAAGGGATTCTTTAAGGTGAGAGCACGCACGCCTTCTTCTGGAGCCCCCTCTCGTTGGCAGGGAGGGCCCTAAATGGAGAGAGCATGTCAGTGGGTGTAGGAGATCCCCTCCTGGTTCGAGAAGTGTAAGCATTAGGCTGTGATGGTATAGCCTTTCCTATTACCTTTATATCAATTTTTCTCAGAGAGTTTTGAGGTTCACATAAAAGAAGCCACCCCAGATGGACTTGAGAAGTCTGTGAGCCTCCTGACCTGAGAGTGCCTGATGAGCATTTTTTCTGGAGAGTTTTCTGCAGATTCTCAGTAAGATGAGTTTCTCTAAAAATGCAGAAACTTCATTAAATTGTGCCTGTCATCACCCAGGGTGTCTGAGGGGTAAGATTCGTGTTCCAGGGCCTGGACATTTGTACATCACTTAATTCTCCCAGTAAGAGCTGGGACTCTGGAATTAGACCTGAGATTGAATGCTGGCTACTCAATATTTTAAAGTATCTTCAAGGTGGATACTAATTATCCTTGTTTTGAAGATGAGGAGGCTCAGAGAAGTTATTCAGCTGCCTAGGACACACACTCTGTGAGCTAGGGGCAGGAAGCCAACCGTGCTTGTGTGGCCCCAGAGTACACACTCCGCCCAGCCCTGCAGTAGCAGAACAGACAGCAACAATTGGCTAGATGCAGTTCAAGGCTCCCTCCAAAGAAGATAGAAGTTGGGTTCTTACAAATCCTATCTCATGGGGACCTTTACCTGTCTGTGCCACACATAGTGCTAAGGAAGGGGTAGGCATTGTTCATTCTATCATTCACCCAAAGGACTTTTACTGGGGAGGGGGCAGTCATCAGCTTCCCCCGTATTTTAACATAAGGAACCTAAAGTCTAGAGAGGTGATGCTTGTTGCAGGATGTAGGCAGTGATTTAGGTATGCAAGGGATCCTTCTAGCTGGTTTCTCCCTGGCCTGGGTTCACTGCACTTCCCAGCACTATGGACTAAAAGGCTTTGTTCTCTTCCTGCTTTACCTTTTGTGATTGACTCCCAGACTACTTCCGATATTTGGGTTCTTACTTTCTCACTCCCCACCCTGCTGGCCACTGGAATTTGCAAACCCTCCTTTCCTAGCCTCCTGTACTGGGCAGAGGAAAGGAAGAGAAGCAGGATGCTGACTGGGTAACTAGGATTTGGAGGTTAATGGGATGTATTTGGGAACATGCCGGAATTGAGTCAGAACACTCAAATAGGAGTCTCAATCTGTGGCCTACCAACTGAACAACACTGGGCATGACTCTTCTTTTTAGACCTCAGTTTCCCTATCAGTGACTAAAACTGAGGACTGGGTATTAAAAGCACTCTATAATCTTTTAAAGGCCATCCAACAATAGTTCATTATTAAGTAAAAAACTATGAAGCGTTCATTACAATGCACATGTTTGTGTGTGGGTATATATACCAACAAGCAACAAGTATTTTAGATCTGGGGATGGTAATCATGTCATTAATTAAATTCTGCAGATAAGTGAGAAAATGCTTGTAGAAAGACTTTGCAATATATTGTCTCAAAGGTATGCAGGACTATTATGTTCTAAGTACAGGCTTACCGTGTTTTAAATGCAGAACCTTAACCAATTTTTTAAAGAATTTTTTTATATGTAACTTTTTTTTTTCTTTTCTAATTTGACCAGAGAGGAAGGGGGAGAGAGAGAGAGGAAACGTGAGAGAGAAAGCCTCCAGGTCCAGGACTCGAACTGCAGTTGGCCATGTAGGAGTCCAGCACCCTTATCTTTTAAAGGCCATCCAACAATAGTTCATTATTAAGTAAAAAACTATGAAGCGTTCATTACAATGCACATGTTTGTGTGTGGGTATATATACCAACAAGCAACAAGTATTTTAGATCTGGGGATGGTAATCATGTCATTAATTAAATTCTGCAGATAAGTGAGAAAATGCTTGTAGAAAGACTTTGCAATATATTGTCTCAAAGGTATGCAGGACTATTATGTTCTAAGTACAGGCTTACCGTGTTTTAAATGCAGAACCTTAACCAATTTTTTAAAGAATTTTTTTATATGTAACTTTTTTTTTTCTTTTCTAATTTGACCAGAGAGGAAGGGGGAGAGAGAGAGAGGAAACGTGAGAGAGAAAGCCTCCAGGTCCAGGACTCGAACTGCAGTTGGCCATGTAGGAGTCCAGCACCCTTAACCACCATGCCACCTGCCGGCCCCCTTAACCATTTTTTAAAAGTCATTTAGTTTATACAGTTTTTATTTCCTGAACTACTCAAGCCTTATCAGGGCTATTTTCCAGTAACTGCATTCCTTCAGCAGATTTGATTTTTTCAAAATTTCAGTGGAAATGCTAAAGGACAGTGAAACAGGCAGCAGAAGAGGGGCAAAAAGGAAACAAGTGAAAGAATTCAAAATAATCCACAAATATAATTATCCTTAAATAACTGAGAGTTGACCAAAATACATTCTGAATCTAGAAATGTCAATTAAGTGTTCCCCAACCGCTTCTCTTTTCGGCAGCAATCCCTTGAAAACAAATCTATACTTGAAAGGGTGGGGGCAGGGTAGGAGAGAACCACCCCACAGATCTGTTAATTAAGGAAACAGGAGCGGGTTTTACCCAGTGGCTTTCTACTATTAAATTGAATTCTTTAAAAATGTGACATGAAGTGCAGTTAATGATAGGAATTCAGTGATTGAACCATAACGATCTTGCCCTGTCCTTAAACTGTGCAGGCACACAGAAAATGTGGGGAAGGCTTTGGGTTATTGGGAAAATGTATACCTGAAGCAAAATGCCACCAGCACTCAAACTGGCCTATAGCCTTGAGGAGGATGGCAAAAACTAGAGTGTTAGAAATTACTGCATGTTCAATGAAAAGGAGCTTCATTCAAGAAACTGAGTTTCCTCATAGGCTTGAAGAGAATTTAAATGCTGGGAACTCCGAAGTATGTTCACATTTGAAAATTTTGCATTTTAAATTAAAATTATTATTAAAGCAAGGAAATCGTTGACACACAAAAAAATTGGCTTTGTCATATTTTTGAAGTTGTACAGAAGCAGGTTAGAACCTTTCTCCTAAAATGAAATTAAAAGGTGATAGGGTGAAAACTGAAACATGGGAGTTAAGGATGACTGAAAGTAAAGAGACGATTGCAAGTCAACCTAGACTTTTGGACACAAAATAGACCGCAAAGCTCAAGTTGCCTGGATTTCTTCTTTTCGTTTGATGCAGTCCAGACTTCCCAAATTAATTCCAAATTTCTGCTCTATTTGGAGTTGTATAGATCCAGGTGATTTCTGAATGATTTCACTCTGAATGATAAAATGCAACCATTTGCACAATTTTTTTTTAAAAAGTATTTTGAAATTTGGAGGACACAATATGTTTAAATTTTTCTCCATGTGTCATTTGAAAATTATACGTGATTCTGAAAAATACAACATGATTTTTATATCCAAGCCCAAGTTTATGATGTATCTTTTACAATATGGCTATTTTGGTGTTCATGTCACTAGTCATGTATGAAATGATGTAGTGATAGGAATTGTTACTGACATATTATCTATCATCTCTCTTTTTTCTCTCATTCTTTTTTGCCCTCTGGGCTGACTGGCTTGCTCTCTTCGATGTGATAGTACTGTTTAGTATCTAATTTTAAGATTTTGCTTTCAAAAATCAGAAGTGGCCAGTTTATCATACATATTCTATAAAGATAAAATAAACTACACAAGCTGACTGGAGAATTTTTTTTGTATTAAATCCCTTCCTATGAGTCTTAACTGACAAATCCTAATTTTGCATTTTTTACGATTTCATCTCTATTGGATAACAAAGCCAGTTACTGTGATATTTGACTTATAATAGTGATAGCAAACAAAGTACATTCCAGATAATTTTGATTTTATTTTAATAAGGTCAGCAATAATCAGGGGAGTGGAACAAGTAGAAAATTGTTCCCAAAGGGATATTAAAAGTGGAGATAATCTAATCCTCCAAGGTATGATATGTTGACCTGGTAATTTCAGATATGATTTTATCATTCAGAGTTGGGTGTCTCCTGAGACTTGCTTCAGAACAATCCGAGATGATTTTCATTGTCAGCAGCTAACACTAATAAAATTGTTTTTCCTGCAGGCTAGCGTGTTAGGAAATTAAATTTATCTAATTATACGAATTGCACTGTCGCTTTTCACATTGTAATTAAAATACATCTTGTCAGGTCCTACCTCTTTCCAGAAACTATTAGTTGACTATCTCTGTATTGTATTTTCTCAGAGAACGGTGCAGAAAAATGCAAAATATGTATGCCTGGCAAATAAAAACTGCCCAGTAGACAAGAGACGTCGAAACCGATGTCAGTACTGTCGATTTCAGAAGTGTCTCAGTGTTGGAATGGTTAAAGAAGGTATGGATATAACTCTTTTTATACGGTTTGCTTATACATATATTCACATATCACTGAAAAAAATGTTAACATTTATGTTGGAATAGTGAATTTTCCTGGTTCCTCTTTAGTTCCAGCATTTTATTTTTATGGTGTATATTTACATTTTAATAAAAACTGAGGATTACTTATTCTAATTTTTCAAAATCAGTAGAGATCTTGTGTACATATATCTTTGTTCTATTTAAAAAGGAGACTTTCAGGGCTAATTCATTACCAAATGTAAGTATAGGGTAGTTTTAATGATGTTTAATTCAATGCTCATTAAATCATTGTGTGAATATTATTCCAAACCAACTGCCATTTTAAAATGGTTGGTCTCATTAATGACTGTTCAACTATAATGTGTTTATGTGTTTTGATGTCTTTTTGTAATTTATGGCTATTCAAAACATAATCTTTGAAGATTTTTTTTCCTCTCTCTCCTTCTCTCGGCCTCAGTTGTCCGTACAGATAGTCTGAAAGGGAGGAGAGGTCGGCTGCCTTCCAAACCAAAGAGCCCATTACAGCAGGAACCTTCTCAGCCCTCTCCACCTTCTCCTCCGATCTGTATGATGAATGCCCTTGTCCGAGCTTTAACAGACTCAACACCCAGAGATCTTGATTATTCCAGAGTAAGTTTTATGATGTTCTGCTTTCAAATGAATAATCAGGGCTTCTATTCATGATGCCTATAATACGAGCTAACTGAATGACTGTGCCTGGCACTGTGCTGAACAATTTTCATACCTTTTCTATATTTCTCATTTCATTTAGCAGTTCAATGCACCCATTGCACCAAATCATTTTTGCCTTATTGGATCTCTAAATGCCTTAACAAATGACCCTGACAGTGCTGCACCTGTCATAGCCATTGTTCCTAGTGGTTGTGCCAATGAAACTCTGCACAGGTGAATGATAATTTGTAGACTTCTTTTTGTAATCTAGACAAAGTGATTATTAGCTTTTTTCCATATTGTGATCAAACCATCTGGGTGAGCTTCAAGTTATCCTTAAGCAGTCTACCCAACTTCATTGGCATTGATTGACCTGCTGCTTATTCAGAGGGATTAGACCATTGATGGAAAAGAGTGAGCTCTGACCTTGATACGGGGAGGTGTCAGGACTGGGATGGAATGCTGCCTTTGCAGCTTCCTGCCTGTGACACCTGGCTCTTGCTCTTCCTTTCTTACCCCAACAGTAGAGATGATTACAATGTTTATCCCCAGAGGGGTCTTTTGAACATCAATCACATGAAAATCATGGTTGTAAAAACATTTTGAAAACCATAAATGATCACCAGTGTTGTTATTTACATCAACCAGAACATACCAATATTTTAATTTTGTATAAGATATAATAAAATTTTCATCAGCCTGAATGCTGCAAATTCTCCCCAAATCTAGATAATACAAATAAAAGCCATGAGAGAGTTTATACACGTTTTGGAGAAGTGTATAAATAGTTCTATAAGGTAGTTCTTTAAAGGAGGTAGAAATGCAAACTTCTAGTAAAACAAGGTCTTACCAAAGAGAGAGGAAAAGGAGAGAGATCACAATTAACTGAACAATTTCTACATAGTGAACATTATGGTACATTGTCTCATTTAGTCCTGCAAGCAACATCAGCTGTAGAGATTTCTATCTCCGCTTGAAGACAAGAAAACCCAAAATATTGCTTGTACACAGATAAAGAGATACCAGGCCACGGGTCCCCAGTTGGTTGATCTGACTTGGCAGCAACTATCAGATTGCCCTTCCCAGGTCTAATCAGCTTTCAAGCTTCTGGTTGAATGGCTGGCAAAGACTGTGTGTATGTCTCTGCTACATGCCCTCCTTTTAGGCTGCAGTGTTGACAGAAATGATGGGTGTACCTGCTGTGATCCCCGTTCTCTTATCCTCATCCTCATTATAGGCTGTGCAGCCTCCGCTCTGCACCTGATCACAAGACTTCATATGAGACACATGGTAGATCCTTAGCACCAAAGGTTGAGGACTCTTATCCTGATTACAAGTAGCATCTCTTGACTAAAGTAGTCAAGTCTCAAATAATAGGGTAACAGAATAATGCAGTAGTTGAGGGCTCAGTCTTTGGAATCATGCTGGCCTAAATGAAAATTCCAACACCATCAATTAATTATTAGTTGGGTGACCTTGAACAACAGACTAAACTTTTTAATGCCTCAACTTCCTCATCTGTGTTATGGGGTAATAGTATCTACTTCCTGGAATTGTATTGTGAAGATTAAATACGATGCTATTTCCCAAAGCTTCTGCACAGAGCGAGCTCTGTCTGTTATCTCCTTGCTCAAGCTTTCTTATAGTACATTTGTTGAATTTACTATATGAACATTACACATGTCAGGTACCATGCAGCAATAACAGAAAGCTAAGTGTTATGATCTCTTTTTCACCCATGAGGAAAGTAAAACACAGAGGCTAAAGGGCTGACTTGCCCAAGATCCATAGCTAATACTGCATCAGATATAGTACTGGACTAAAATCTGTGTTTTTAAATATCAAGCTTCACTGTGTCTCTAGTTCAGTGTAAGGAGGTGTTAAAGAAAGTATTCAGGAAAGAGGAGTTCTCTGCCCTGAAGTACCCCTTCCCTATCCTTATGCAATTTGTCGGAATTAATGAAGCTTCTAGGCACAGTCTAGGCTAGGGTTGCAGCATACCGGCATTGTTCCAGGGCATTCAAAATCACCAAAGATGGTCAGTTCAGAGAATTTAGGCCCCCAAAGTGATTTTTTTGAGTTCCAAAATATCCAATTATCAGTCTACATGGCCTAATTAGTCATTTAGTGGCAACTCCCCACCCCCACCTCCTGCACTTTGAGTTGTCCCAGCTGGGAACTGTCTCCACACTGAAAAATCAATCCTGTGTATTTGCTTACCTCTACACCATTCAGTCTGTTAGTCTAGAGTCATCATCCTCATCAACAAACATTTATCCAATTTAATTGTTAGCTTTGTCCAAAATAGCAGATTGACCATTGCCAGAGTCTGGGTCACATTTATACTACTTTTGGGGCCTGACTCAATTTTGCAAAGCATATTTATTTTAATTGCATTGTTTTGGAATCAGGTCGAACCTCATAGCTTGGATTCTCCAGTTTTTAGATAGCTTTACAAAATTATCAAGAATTGGACCAAAATCAACGAAAAGACTTCTTAAAAAAATACAAGTGAGGTTTTATCAAAAACTTGGATGAAGGCGTAGGAGCATACTGATCACATTTGCAGATGACAGAAAGCTGGGAGGGATCGCTAATATGATGGATGTCGGTATCAACATTCAGAATGATCTCGACAGGTTGGAACAGGAAAGGCTGAAACCATCACAAAGAAAGTTAACAAAAACAAATGTGAAGCTCAGCATTTAGAATTTTTACAAACGGGAGAGCCTTGGCTTATCAGTGGTTCATACTAGGAAGATCATGGGCATTCAGTCCATACACATTCAATATGCATAAACAAAGGATGTGTTTGGTGGGATGGAAGAACGCTAATCACTGTAGTGTAGAAATATGGAACCGGAACCAAGTTGGGTGATGGTCCCATGGACTCTGTCCTGTCAAGTCATACTTCAAAGATTGAGTCTAATTATCATGTAAGGTAGGGTTTAACAGGGATGTGGATACACAGTTTTTGAAAACTTGTAAGGGATGGTTGGATGAAATGGAAATATGCAAACAGAAAGGGAGAAGATTTGTGGGGATTAGGTCACTCTTTTGCCCTGGGGCAAAAAGGACTATTGCTTTCAAGGGCAGATCTTAGAGAGAAAGGGATAGTCCTCTTCCCATTGGCTCTGAAGCCACATCACAGGCTGTGAAAGTGTGAGTTCATCAACAGGAGAAGTAATTAAGGAGAACACATGAGAGGATTCTTCATAAAGGGAAAGGTCATTCTGGATAACAGTAGTTCCTATATAACTCTTAAGATTTGGGGGACCAGCAGGTGGCGTGGTGGTTAAGGTGCTGAACACTCCCACATGGCTGACCAGAGTTCAAGTCCTGAATCTGGTGGCTTACTTTCTCACTTCCTCTCTCTCTCACTCTCACCCTCTGTCTCTCTCTGGTTGAACTAAAAATTGAATAAATAAATATTATTAAAAAAGATTTTATGATTCTGAGGTTTACCTTATAGCATGTAAATGCAAGTTTTTATATGTATAGTCATTTGAAGATATATGTGGTTAGGTATCTCGTTATTTAATAAGACTGAATTTGTTTTGTTCGCTAACAAAACATTAGCACATAAAATGAAGGGAGAAAAATGAATTTATTAAATGTCTACTTAAAAGCCACCCATCATTATATATATTCCTATATATTTTCATTTAAGCTCTAGCTTTGTGTGGCATAATTTATGGTTTCAGTCATTTTTAAAGAATGTCATTAACCATTTACAAAGGTTTATATTTACAAATTTATAGAACTGTAGGTGACCCTAAAATTATCTACTCTAACCCCCATATTTTTCTTTTTAAGAATGATCTATTGGGACCAGCAGTTAGTATAATGGCTATGTCACTGAACTCCCATGTAGTCGACCATAGTTCGAGCCCCGAACCCGGTGGCTTAAACTCACACTGGATGCATGTGCATATGTGCCCAAGATCCCAAGAGGAGAATGGAGGAGAAGGGATTGCAGTGTGGCCCACCCCCCCGGGGGGTGACTTCTCGCTTTCTGTCTCTCTGTCTCTCTCTGTCTTTCTGGTGAGCACACGTGCCCTATAGCAAAAACCTCTCAAAAAAAAAAAAAAAAGATCTATTTTAATTTTATTTTTTCATTCATTTTATTTTAGCGAGAGAGAGAAAGTGAGAAAGTCACCAGGTCCAGAATTAGAACTGTGGTTTGCCATGTGGGAATGTCCAGTGCCTTAACAACCACACCCCCTGCTGGTCCTCACCAATCCCCATATTTCTAGAGGAGTAAATTAAGGCCCACAAGGTTAAGTGGCTTGCCTAAAGTCAGTGGCAGAGCTAGGACTAGACCCAAATCTCATCATTCAATGTGATATGTTTCTGTTTCATCATATTGCCACTATTTTTTAAACAATTATTATATTTATTTCTTTATTTAACTTTATTTATTTATTTATTTAAATTCTGACCAGAAAGAGAGAGAAAGTGAGAAAGCAAAACTCCAGCTTCAAGACTTAAACCATGGTCGGCCATGTGTGAGTCCAGTGCCCTTAACCACCATGTCACAGGCCACCCCCATCATATAGCCACTTCTATTTAATGGCAATTTACTAGATTTTTTCACATAGAAATGCTTTATTATGTTTCTAAAAATCACAGTAGTAGTAGTAGTACATACCCATTTTTTTTTTAAGGCAAACCATTTAGAAGTGAATGAAATGAAAAACAAGTCTCCTTATCATGTGTACACATTTAATCCCACTCCTCAGCAGCAACAAATGTTAACATCAGTTTGTATCCATAATTTATTAAATTTTAAGTAAGAACTTGCCCTGTCAAGTTTCAGTTGGAGAGTTGCTTTGACCAATAAAATGTATTAAAGGTGCTAGCTTCCCACAGTGAATCAGGTCAATAGAGAATGGAGAAAACGTCTGCCAGCCCAGTATGTTTAATCTCCATTTATTAGTGTACGTGCATTTAAGGTA